TTTTTCATAATATAACCACGAACTTGTCCTTGTAAAGTAGCAATAATTTTTGATAAAGCAGCATCACGCATATCTTCTAATTGACCCAATGTACCTGCTCGAAAGAAGACTTTTGTTGAACCACAACGATATAAATCTTCAACTAATTGACAATCTTTAAGAATATTTTCTGTTGATTTTTTAGCATCAACAAAACCTTTTGGAATAGCATTTGGTGCTAATATTGAATAACGTTGTTTAAATTCCGAATAAATCATACGATTTGGAAAACCTTTACGACAAATACGAATACCTTCAAGTACACCATTACATGTTAATTGATGCATAACTAAATGTGAATCAAGTACACCACCAGTTTTTATTTCATTTGGTATAATACAACGAACAAAATGTGGATGTGTTTGTTTTAAATTATTCATTAATTTATTTAATTGTTCCTGAAATAACAAAAACAAACAAATTTAAATTATTTATAAATAAAAAATTTGATGAAACTTACACGATGTGTAGCTGAAATTGTTTGCATACTACCACCACCTTTCTTTTTACCACTAGCTTTACTAGCACCTTCTTCTTCAACAGCATCAGCAAAGAGAATACTTAACAGAGCATTTTTCGATTTAGCAAAAAGAATAGCACTAAAAAATTCAATAGAAAAATTATTGTTTTTTTTTCGTTTCTTTTATAAATTAAATTTAATAAAAAAAAAAAAAAAAGGTAAACATACACAGTATTGTTAATAGGATCTTTATTTTTTTCAAGCCATGATGTTGCTGTATATGATACAGTACCAGCATAATGATGAATATCAAAATGTGCTTCTGCTTTGCCTTTACCAGGTTTAGGTTTACCAAATTGTGGATGTTTACCCAAATGATTAGTATAAAGTTTTTCAACAAATGTCTTATCAGTAGCTTTTGGTACAATACATTCTTCTTCAAGAATGGAAAGAATTCCCATAGGCTACAATATAAAATTTCATTTTATATTTTAAAAAAAGAATTCAAATATTAATATTTGCCTTTTCGATAAGATCAATGCAAGCTTGTAAATCCATACCAAAATCAATAAATGTCCATTGTATGCCTTCTTTTTTATATTCTTCTTGTTCTAATACAAACATATGATGATTGAAGAATTGTTGAAGACGTTCATTTGTATAATTAATACATAATTGTTCAAAGCCATTAAACTTTAAACAACAAAAAACAAAGATATTAAAATTGGAATTATTAGTTTTTTTTTTCTTTATATATTAATTTTACCTCGAAAATTTCAAAACCAGCAATATCGAGTACACCAATAAAATATTGTCGTTTAGCTTTGACATCGAGTGTAACGTTAACACGATCGACTAACCAAGTAAATATACGAAAATAGATCTAAAAAATAATCAAAAAAAAGAAAAATACAAATTTTTCAATTATTTTATTCATCTATTATAATATACCGCTTTCGAAAGAGCACCAATGGAGTTAATGACTTGATCTTTATTTTGACCCTTGTTAACATATTCATTACCGACCTATTTTTTTTTATAAATTTTTAATGATTATGGAAATTACAAAAAAAAAATAAATAAATAAATCTAACCTTAATACGAGGTTTAAGTAAACCTTTAATAAGATCAGCTGCTTCAACACCAAGTAAATGAGCTACTTTTTCGCAGTCTTCGGTACCGTCAGTTTCAGCTTGTTCTTCTCGAGGTCGTTGTTTCCATTGAGAATTACCAAAATGCATAATAGATGAAGTACATTTGAATAGATTAACTTTTTCATCCTATAATATATTAAATCAAAAAAGTTTAATTATAATTTATAGATAAATATGAACTTGTGTGAAACCAAGAATATCAAAAGCTTCATCGGTAAGTCGCATTTCTTCAGCATCGTCCACACCATCAATAGTAAGCATACCTTGAGCTACGTAAAAATATTTCGATGGATCATTTTCAATTAAACACACTTCTGAAAAGAAAAAAAAAGAAACGAAAATTTAATAATATTTGACATATTTTGATAATTATATTTATATTGACCATGATATTGAGGAAATGCCTTTGAACAAAGTTGGTAGAAGATATGATAATTACGTTCAGCTAAATAAACAATTCAATTTCTTTATTTTTAAGAATAAAAAAAAATTTAAGTTTTGTACCTGGTTGCTAAAATAAAAGAAAACAAAAATTATTATCATTCATCCACATATATATATATAAAGATGGACGAAATTTTTCGAACAATTTTCTTTTAGTCGTAACTCAGTCAGAAATCTATTTATATTAAACAACGATTTTTGTCAAACTTACGAAAATTTAAAAAATTTACGTCTACTCTCTGCTGACACTTTGCTTGTAAAAGTCGATATCAAAAGTAAATTTTTTAATACTAATAGATAGAAAACTTTTCCAAGTTTTATATTAAAAACAAAAAGTATCATCAAAAATATTTATATTATTTCATAGACTGTTGAATGATCAAAGAGCAATCTAGTTATTATAAATTTACTACAATTACAATTCAATTTTCAAAACTGAAATTGAATGTGAATTGGTGATACTATTATTAAAAATAAAAATGTTTTCTAATAAATAATTTTCTGACAAAGTTATACATAAAATAATATTGTCCAAAAACTTTCTTTTAGTATTATAGAATATCTTACTTGAAAGATGACACGAGATTTTTCGAGTAGATATACTTCAATATCAGCACCAGCAATTTTACCCGTTGGACCAAAATGAATACGAATGAATTTACCCTAAATAGAAATATTAATCAAAATTAATTCATTATAATCTATATTTGAAGTATATTAATCAATCATAACCTACAAAACGAGATGAATTGTTATTACGAGTAGTTTTGGCATTACCATAAGCTTCCAATACAGGATCTAGTTAAAATAAAATAACAGATTTATTTGATAATCAATAGAATAGAATTTTAAACTTACTAGCTGATACAATTTGATCTTCAAGTGTCATTTGTTTCTATTATTTTTTTAAAAAAATTTTAATAAAGAAAATAATAAGATTATATTCTATTTTTTTTTGCTCATATTAATGAACTACCTTTGCACCCTCCTCTTCTTTTTTAGTACCAGCAGCAGCGACCAATGCAAAATATTGAATGACTTTTTTCGTATTTTCTGTTTTACCAGCACCTGATTCACCTGTGATCAACATCGATTGATTTTCACGATCTAAATTTTTAAGAATTTATTTAAAATATATTCTTTTTTTTTTTTAAATTACGAACAAAAATCAACGAAAATTTTTGTTATTCTAATTAATCGCTTGAATTAATTTATATTTGATTGATTGATTGATTGATTGATTTTGTCCTTAAGAACATCTGTATATGTCTATATCAATATAAACTCTTGTTTTTTTTTTCTTATACATTTGATTAATACAACATAGTTATTTAGACATCTGGTTTAATAATTATTAACTCGTGTTTTTGTTTTTCTCACTATACAAATTCTTTCTCGTTTGTTCTCATAGAAAGAAAAACAAAGTCGTATTTAGATAATGATACTTAATGAAAAAGAAAAACGATATTCCATTGATTATTAAATAACATCTGTTGTTGTTGTTGTTTATTTTTCCTGCATAAACGATTTTCAATAATGCATATATTACTTTCTCATACAATCCTACGATATATAAACTATTTAGATTAAGATGTTTACCTCGAAGCATATTTGAATAAGCAGTATCAGAAATAGCATATAAATGTGGTGCAACTTCAGTACGTTTTCTACCACGATATAAAAGTACTACTTTCATATTATAAATTGGTAAACGTTTATAAGGATTAATGACAACACAAAATAATCCTGAATAAGTCTAGAAAAGATTAAAAAAGAACATTTTTATTAATTTAATAGAAAAATATTAATAAACATACATAGATAAGCCATCGTGCATAACGATCACGTAAAGTAGCTAAAACTGAAGCATCATTCAAATAAGTTAAATCAGCCATATCATCAATACACCAATATTTAGGTGGATTCATTTCCTGAATATCATCTTTTTTTACTGTTCGTGTCTAAAATAAAGACAAGAAAAAAAGATTTTAACTGATAGAAAAAAAACACCATTCGACATACTTCTCCTTTAGAAGTTTTAACTGTAACTTCATTATCTTTTGTACTTTCAATGTCAGCAGCAATAAATGATTCTTTTGGATCAGGTACCCAACATGCTTTTTTAGCATCAAATGGTTGAGATCGAAGTTTAATTTTTTCTTCAGATGGTAAAGCCAAATATTTCATGGCATCAACTACTTCTGGATCATTTGGATCGCCCATAATTCTATAATTAATATTTTTAAATAAAATTATTAATAAATCTGTTTCAAATAATTCAACATACCCTTCTACTATGTTTATCGTTTATTTCAATAAATAATACAATCAAATGAAAACTAAAAAGAAATATTTTTCCAATGAAAAAACAAAACAAAGTAATACTTAGTTTGCAATAATCAATACCTGATAATAGGACGAGCTTAGAATGGGTCTCTACAAACAATTGTTTCTTCAGTTAGCATGCATTTATATAGTCTCTCAATTGAGAGATGAGAGAAAAAAAAATGTCATTGACCAAAATAAGTAATTCTATTCTCGTCCTATTATTTTTCTCTCCAATCGTCTAATGATTTATTCTTTTACAGTACAATTATTTTGGAATCTTTATGTGATGATTTGGTAATCTCAATAATACACATAAGTTCGACAGATGGTCGAATAGACAAAGAGAGAGAAAAATCGCATCCTTTCTATATCATTAGTAGACAAAATGGTAAAACTTTTGTTCGGGTTGGTTAGGCATGAAATTAAGCGAGAATCGTTTCTGCAAATTGTATAGCTTGCTCTTGCTCTCTCTTTCTCTCTCTCTCTCTCGATCTTCTTTCCTTTTTTGGTCTTCTCATACTAATAGATGATAATGTTGTGTTGTGAATATTTACATCTACAATATTTTCTAGATGAGCAAGATATTTTCTTTTTCTCTATTATTTCATAGAATGTCAATTTGATACTTCAATGAGATAATAGATTATGTACATATGTAAACAATCGAAGTACTAACAAAAGTACATATTAAAGAAAAGACGAATTATTTCTTTTAATTTATGAAGAATATTTCTTACGCATCAATGTACAATAATCTTATTGTATACGTTTTTCATGTTCGTATAAATGATTAACATACAAACAAAAAAACCATCATTGATAGATGAGATAAAAAAAAGATAAATATTATACACCGATGAAAATTGTTATTAAGAATTATTTTAATCAAATAAACTATTTGAATCTTTTCTTTAAGATATATATGTATTGAAACATACAATACGAAAATATGTTTTTGCCAAATAATGATGTGACAAGATAATAGTTTCAACATATAAAGTCATTAGTAATACATCAGATCTAACATTTCACTTAATCAAACAGATGGTTTCTTAAACGTAGATTATATGATGTAGTTATTTTAGGATTTTCCAAAATAGTCAACATAATAAACATAATTCAAAACGTTTATTTAATGTTAATTTCATGAAATTTTTATTTCAGTTAGTTTTTAACTTTTTCATATTTTTGACTGAAAAATAATGTTTTAGTACTTAGAAACTAAGTACTAATATAGTATCAATCGACATGAGGATTATAGATAAATAAGTTTTGTCAACATGATATTATATAAGAAAATATGAATATTTTCTTTAATATCAATCGTTTTTATTGTATTTTCTTCACAAACATTATAACATACAATCAACATAAGATTTCTTTCGGCATTATTTATTGGTATTAAGCGGTCGTCTTAAGTTTTCCCTTCTTCATAGATATATCATTTTTGTTATTTTCCTCAATAGATTGGTATTGATTTGCTATGAATAGAAGTAAAGATTACATTGTCTGACCCGTTACAATTCATTATGCTAAAGAAAATATTGTTGAATAAGTTGAAATAAATGTTTCGAGAAATATTTATTTTCGATTAGATATTCATTCAATTTGAATTGAATATATAATCATATTGAAATTAGTGAGATGAATGAAATAATCTCACTTATTCTGCTAATGTTTTTTTTTGGCGAATAATTTTTAAGTGATTGGTACTTTGTGTTGTTTTAGTAAATGCCTTTTTACTCATTGATAGTTCAAAGTCTTGGCTTAAATAATTGAAATAGTAACTTTTTAAGAATAGCTTTATAATTAGATTAATTTACATTTCGTCGATGAAATTTGATATATGATTCATGGTGAACTAACATCGGGTTCCAAAAAAAAACTGATAGTAATGAAAACTTTAAATTTATAAGTAGTAAAATAGCTATGTTCTAATGACCAAAACATATAGCTGTCAGTTCTAGTAAAGCTGTTCTGTCGAATCCATTAGAAGTGATACGTTATTTCAATATAATATCTGGAGAAACATATCTCGACGATAAAAACTATGTAAACAACTAACTTTTCATAGCTAACAGCCAACGGCTGTTTACTTAATTAATTCATTGTAGAATAATATATATGTTTATATTTCATGTTTCTTATTGTTAACAATCCACTTTTACTATAGTCCGAACAATTAAAAGTACGACTTAGAATTTTACTTTGTTTTTAATTTCATGATTATGTGTTGTTTTGTTTTTATATACTATATACTGATATAGATTGGTCATATATTTACTATTATAATCCTATAGTGATCCTCTACCTATAC